CTATCTATCTATCTATCTATCTATCTATCTATCTATCTATCTATCTAGGAGCATGGTGGCTCACATGGTTAGGACACTGGGTTGACAACAGCAAGCCTGTATTCAAGACCCAAATGCTGCTGAGACAGGATGAATTCCTGTCATTAGCTCCAGCTCCTCCTCAGGACATGAAAGGTGCCCCCAACTGGGTATTCCCTGGGCAATGGTGATGTCACCGGCTGATCCTTTCAACCTGAAAACACCTCAGTGATTCTGACAGGAGTGTGATGCAATCTATCATATCTTTCTTTCTTTTTCTTTCTTCCTTTCTATCTATCCATCCATCTATCATCTATCTATCATCTATCTATCTATAGTCTGTCTATCTATTTATCTATCATCTCGGAATAGAATCAGTGGCACAAAGACATATGAGGCGGGGGGCAAAATGTTGTCTAACCAATAACTAGTTTCATATGTGCCTGTGTCCCAATTATCAACTCAACAGAACAAGTACATCAGATTTAACACTTGAGAAAAGCTGGGGAGCACACTAAATGTTGAAACTTAATATAATTAACATCAAATGTTTGGACTCCAGGCCAAAACAAAAAACAAATGGTACGCTAATGTGAAATCTTTCAGTTGACATCACTGTAGCTTAATATTGGATATTAGAAAGATGCTGGCAGCTGTGCTCCAACAACGCCATAAGTTAGCCCTGCCTGTGCGCTGTTCTACAACACCACTTAGTTGTATAGGATAAGCATACATTTTCTATTCTAGTAAACTAAATTGGAATGATACAAAAATGCCAAAGTGATACATGTAAATTTCTGTGTCAAAGCTAATTTGATGCTCATCCAATTAATACCACAAAAGAAGAAACTTTGAAATTAGTATCATATTCTTTCAGTGAGTTATGCTCAGTTAATGTTTTCTCTGAAAAACACTGGAGGTTTGTAAGAAGAGATTGGACAACCATTTGTCTGAAATGGTATAGGGTTTTCTGCTTGACAGGGAGTTGGAGTAGAAGACCTCCAATTTTGTTATTCTAGAATGTCCTTGAAAGAGCTATGGGTTATTGCTGAAGGCAAGTACAAGTATTATACATTTGACCATGTAGTCACCAGCAGTTGAATTAGCATTTCCATGAATCATGGTGTGCATCAAATTAAAGTAACTAGCTAGCTATTCCTTTGTGCAATTCTTTCCAGGATTCAAAATGTTCTTCCTGTCATTATGGATTATTTTTTTTAGTGAACCTTTCCCTATTCTCAGTTTAAGCCATTTAATAATTGTCTTATCTTGACAATTCTGCTGCTACCAAGAAGAAAGGCCCAGTAGTTTACAGTTCTAAAATATGTACAAGTAAGAAGGAAAAGGTTGAACATTCACATCAATATGATAGATGAATTTTCAGCATTTCTCCCATACTAGGGATGAGCTGCTTCTTTTTGACCGAGAAACACATTTCCTCAAGAGTCAAAGCTAAGGTAGCAAAGTCCTAAAATCATGTTATGGACAGTCTCACAAAATAGCTAATATGACAGGAGGAAAATGTCTGTTCTAACAAATGACTATCATGATGGGTATATCCTATTATTAAACACTTGACTACAAGAAGGCAGTGTTCCAAGAATATTCATCCCCACCCTATGTTACCAATGCCAAACATGGACACTTGCAATAAAGCATAAATGAAAGTTAGTCACCATGGAAATGAGATGTCTGAGGAAAGCTGCTGGAGTGACCAGAAGAGATAAAATCAGAAATGAGATAGTAAGAGAAAGAATTGGCATAGAACCAATCTTAAAACTACATACAAAAACAGCAAAGAAAGTGCTTTTCTCATCTGGAGAGGATGTCTTGGGATTTCATATTGTACAAGGCATATACAAAAAGAGGAGAAGGTAAAAGAACACAAGGCAGACTCAGAAGAAGATAGAGAGACAACATCAAAGATATGCTACAAGAAAAATAAAATAACAATGGTTGAAACTGCCAGAAGAGCAAGAACCAAAACTTTGTATTTCCCTTAACATCTGAAGGGATAGAAGAGGAAGAGGAAAGAAGAAGAGGAGAGGAGGAGGAGGAGGAGGAGGAGGAGGAGGAGGTTGCTTCCTGATAGCATTTCCAAAATGCTTTGTACCAGTCCAATTGTTTTTGAACAGGTGGGCTTACTTCCAAAACAGGCCCTGAAGTGATATGATAAACAGAAAAGCTGATGCTTTGCAGAATGCCAGATTCCAATTTATATTCACGCTTAATTAAAAGAATGTCTTAAAATTTAGTCAATAATGTAGAAACCGCGGAGCTTCTGAGGGAGATACATAAAGCATTAGGTTGCCTCCTACGGTAGAATTACAATGAATCAAAGCTCACATGTGTCATTGCATAGACTCACATTTGCTCCTTGCTACAGGTGTGTCTCCTTTTCCTCCCTGTTTCAAAATGTAAGCTTGTTCGATCATAAATTGTTGCATTAACAACAGCACTTAGACTTATACACTGCTCTATAGAGATTTACAGCAGTCTTGGAGCAGTTTACAATGTCAGCATATTTCCCTCAATAATCTGGGTTTTACCAACTTCAGAAAGATGGAAGGCTGAGTCAGCCTTGAGCCCATCAGGATTGAGCTCCAGGCTGTGGGCAGAATTAGTCTGCAATACTGCATTCTAACCACTGCGTCACAAGGGTTCTCATGGTTTGATTTCCAGTTAAGAGTCATGTTTGCATGTGGCCATTTATGAACAAGTAACAGCATTAGTCATTATTATAGTGGCACTTTTGTAAATTGCAGAGTATCAGTATAACATTTGGTGGGGAGGGGAGGGAATGATGCTGTATGTTTTAAAAACCTATTTTTTAAAAAAGTGTTTGAGCATTATGTTAAGATTTATTGAGAATCTTTAGCTGACTAAAGTA